GAGAGGATTTACACACACGCTCACTTGAAGCTCAGCTCTTAGCGATGCTCCTGCACTGAGGCTGAGATTTCCATATGGGTCGGTCTGTCCTGAAGACGGCTGAGGGGATGTCGTGAGTAAGTCTGATATTCAGGAAAGCGAACAAGGGCCCTCTGTGTTCACCAACCTCCTGGTCAAAGATGAAACACGCTCGCAGTGACGCTGAGCCTCAAACAGAAGCCAGGAGGCAAAGAGACTGTAACAGGAGGCGAGTCACACTGCTGGGAGAGAAACCGGAGTTAGGCGAGGAGATCCACGCCGCCGTCCTGGCTGTTGGCTAAATATGAAGTGATGTTTAGGAACTTTAACAGCCACCTTTATAAAACCTAAAATAGAATCTAAACTTCATTCGTCAAGAAAAGAGAGTGTCCAGAGTTCTTCAAGCGTACGTGATGCCAAGTGCAACCAGGCAGTCATCGGCACAATATGGTTCCAGCTGAGCTTAGTTTTATGATTTAAAAACAAAAAAGTACAAGTTAGTGTGGAAACAATAAAACGTGTATGTCGGAATTAGTGAAAATGGCCAATCTGCCACAAAAACATTCACTTTTCAATTATATAAAACAGAAGAAAAGCAGAACATCTTCACATTTGACAAACTGGAAACAGAAAATGTTTCTTAAATACCATTAACGATTAATTGATTTCTACATTTCTACAAGCCCGCTGGATTCGACCCAAGGATAAGATAAGTCTCAAATTTCTCAGAAGCAGTCAGGTTGAGTTGCGGTGGAACCTCCTAACTTTCACCCCTCTTTATGATATTTGGCAGTTCAGCTTTGAACAGAAGACCTGTGAGGCTGAGATGCTTGAATGAGAGGAAATGAACAGTTCAGGTTTTAACAGACACTGACAATGAGACAAGTTCTGCATTTTCTAAGCTTAACCGAACGCACATTCCGGTCTGCGAGGAGCCCACGTGTTCTGTGCAGAACTCTGTGCAGAGCCATGGGCCTCTTCTACACGCCCCACTGCTGCTCCCTGACATCCTGCAGGGCCCTCAGCTTCTCCACCACACAGACGCCGACTGCCTGCTCCAGTCTACGGTCTGTCAGCTTCCCCAGAATCACAAATCTCCAGCCGCCTACCGTACAGGTGACCCCTCTCAAAAAAATATGCACAGGGAAGATTCAGCTGGATCCCACTAAGAGGTGTGTGCTACTAAAGCTTGGTTTGGCTCCAGAACATTCCTCTCTCGGGTCCTTTGCAGCATGTGGGATGCGGGGAAGAGACAGCAGCTGCAAATCTGCTCTGAAAACACAAATCCTAAACATAGCAGGAAGCTGCTGGCGCTGTCTTGCAGCCGGCAGATGAATGGCTCAGAGATCTCAGAACCCGGCTCCGGGTGCGGGTCTCTGGTTGCCTGAGTTGGGCTGCAGTGTGCCGTAACCCCGCAGACCGCACGCTGAAACACACATCCACACACTGAAGTGCCAAGTTTAAAGCGGCCACCGTTCAGAGTGTGTAAATAGAGCAGTCTGGCATAAACGCTCTGATTCATACCACATGGGCATCAGCCGTACGGCCAGCTCACTAAGAACGTACAGTAAAGCAGCCCAGGCACAGGTACTGCAGGTGTGCACTCGACAGTCTGTCAAAGTCAGTCGTGCAGAAGGAGAAAGTGCTACGGTGAAGCTACAGTCTGTCTGCTCAGCCAGACCGGCTTCCCTCCAGCAAAGCTTTGTGGCCTCTTGTTGACCCATTGTCCACTGAGCGAGCATTGTGGTTGGAGGCATTGTGCTGCTGAGCGCCATTTATGTCAGCTGGATGACTATAGACGCATTCTCTCTGAGCCTCGTACAGTCAGCACGGCCAAAGATAAGGAAAACAGGAGAAAAAAGCACCACAGGTACAGAAAATCAAATAATATTTCTAAGACTCTTCTTCAAGCAGGTGTCGCTGAAACAAGACCAAGTGTCGGCAACTCTGGGGGGGAAGACGAAGCTTTGAGCCGAACACGAGAACGCAAGTATGCAAAAATACTCCCAATGACAACGACTAAAACTGATGCTTAGCTGGTTTAAAGCCACATTAGTCTCCTTAGCTGAGCACGTTAAGATCCGATAAACGGAAAGTGCAGCCGAAACTGACGGGAATGTCATTGGCTTTGCAAGTTTGATTCGCTGGTTTGTTTGAGACGCAAAGTGAGAGTTCAGTTCATGTGTGTGCAAAAGTTCATCCAGAAATTTCACGTGAACAAAAACTAGGAACACCACGGCATCCATCTAATGGCTGAGATACTGAGACGTGGAACAGGCAACTAAAAACATGTAAGACACTGTTTTCTTTTTCACACAAAGCGAAAATTTAAAGCAGGTGGACGTGGTGGAAAAGAAGTGAATCCAGCCAGAGTTCAGTGAGTTAATCATGACAACAGACGGACTTTAACCAGAAGAAGGTCCTGTAATATGCCGGAGGATTGATTCAGGGACGCTACCTCCCTCGTCGTCTTCCACTGGCGGCGCTCCATACTTCTCTGGCCATTTTCCAGCTTCGCTCTGGCACATGATGCCGTCTCCCCTCCCCATCAGACATCCCACCATCCCCGCTACTACCGCTTTGTCTCTGTTTATGGTCACACATGCTTTCCGTCCTCTGTTCTCAGCCCTCTGCCGCCTCCACATCTCATCACGTCCGCCACCTTCTCACTCAGCTCAGTCAGGTGCGACGGTCCGGTACCGCACCTCCTCAGCTGGCCTCCCACCAACCTGCCACATCAGTAGAGTCATGCCTGTAATCCCAACCAGCACGACTGCTCATCCTCCACTTTGTTACGTCTCCCCCGCAGCACCCAGCTCTGCTGTGGGCCCATGTGTGGGTGTTTGTGTAGGTGCTAACTCGCTCAAATAAAAAGTAGGAAATTGTGCATGTTGGTCCCTCACACAGAAGCAGTGCAGCATTACTTTACTTCAGCGTTTATAGCAAAAAAAGAGGACAGACTGTGGAATAAATTGCACATACATTCACACACAATCATTCCAGGTCATGACCCATCCATCCATCCATCCATCCATCCATCCATCCATCCATCTTCGCTGCAAACGGTGCCACGAGGCGCAGAAGAGACGTGTAATTTGTGTGAGCGTGTGGGCATGAGTACATGTTAGTGTGTGTTTCTGCGCTCCTGGCTGTTGTCAGCCGTCCCTGCTTGGCATCACAGCACCATATGTCTGTCTGTTGCCGCTGGAGGCCCGGCCGGCCGAGCGCAGCACAATGACAGCTTTATGCCCAGGTGCCCTGCGTCCAGCACTCCAGCAATTAGTCACATCCTGCAGCCCTGCGAGCAGCGAACACGTGGGACAGACTTAAGGAGGTGAGACAACAGGAGGGAGGGATCCCGACTCAGATACTCCGGTTTTGTCAAAGCTGCTCAGACGTCGTTTGGTGTCGGCGCCACCAGCGCCAATATTTGATGAGTTTTTCCAGTTTTAAAGAGCCAAAGTAAGTCACAGAACTTTCCCCCAGGACCCTGAGGTTCACGTCAGACATTACTGTTTCACTTAGGTGTGATGTATTTGGAACAAAACTACTTGGACAAGATCATGATTTGGGTTAAATGCACCCACATCAACATGTTACACCAGCAGACAACATCACTCTGGACTCGTGACTCCTTCTGACATTCACAGATTCTCAGAGGTCCATCAGCCTTCAGCGTCACATCTCAACCCACTGGGTGCTCTTTAGTGTCTTTTCTGACACTTTCTCACCCCTACAGGGTAAATCTTGACAAACCAAGTGTGTGATTTTGTGCAGTTTGTGATTAACAGGTTCTGGCTGGGACCGGATGGGTGACACAACTGGCCCAGACATCCTGAATCGAGGGGTGGCAGGCGGTTGGCTCGTTGCTGCTCACCGGGTACAAGTCAGGAGGCACCAGAACCTCAAAGAACCACAAACTGTCTGCAGCCTTAACTTGAGCGTCCTGTCCACGGCTGCAGCCTATTTGGAGATACAATGCAGCTTCCTTCCAGATTATGAAGGGTTAGGAAGAAGTGGGCTTGCAATGTGAGTCAACACATTTCTGCTCTTGTGCCACAGCCTGCCCTCCCATCCAAAGCTTCTAAAGCCACCGTGCGCTGGACTACGGGTCCATGCAGTCTGCAGGCTCGTGTTGCAGCAACACATTCTTAAAACAAGCCCAGCTTTTGTCATGAGTCAATAAATGAATCCGTGTCTCGTGGCTACGCTTGGTGGACCATGACAGGACCTGTTGGACCGGAGTGACACCAATCCCACAGCTGACAAAGGCTCGGATTAACAGGAGTCCGCAGCACTCGCACTCTCTCTACTGATGACAGCGATGCTTTGTCACTCAGCCGCTCTGAGCCACAGCAGCCCGGTGACCTGGTTGAGTCTCAGTCACCTCACGGAGAGCAGGTCAACCTTCTCTAGCTGGAACACAAGCATGAAGCTGCACTGACACCATCACAACATCAGTGAGGAGGCGAGTGCAAGATACAGAGAAACCCTGTTCCCACATTTAGCAAACGCCATCCTGATGGTTGACATAATAATAATAATAATGAGACTTCATACTGTGTGTAATTTAACGTCAGAGTTCCTTGATAGACGATTCAAAACTGAATTACAGGTTAGGAAACCTAATAAAATGTGTCTTTTGTTAGTTTCTTTTAAAATGCTGTTCCTCTATCTTGGATGTATTTTTGATTTCAGGCTGTTGCAGAGGAAACCCTGATCCCTGGAACTCTCTGTAGTTGGTTGGATGAACGTCATTCATTCATTCAAGTTGTCTTAACTCAAAAAGATTGATCCAAACTGGTATTTTTGTTGTTGTTGAGGCCGAACATGATCACCAGAAAATCCTGTGGCAGATGAGTGTCGCTGCACTGACACTAAAATCTGATTGTTTTAATTCTTATTAGAATAATGAGTGTAGTGAGCAGCACACAGCCACATGTCTCAGCGCTGACAGCACATCAGCGGGGGATGGATCCTACCTTGGTTGTCCTCGTCCATGACTGCAGCCAATAAAATCAAGATCTCCCCACAAATCGGTCACAGAAACTTCCCTCGTCGCCAACGCACAAAACGTCTAATTCACGGCAAATGCGCGCCCTAATTTCCAGGACGCATTTGGTGCACAGGTTGTCTCAGAGGCAACGTCTTCTTCCCGGGATTTGTTGTGGCCATTGACGGCCCACGGTGAGCGGATCGGCGGCTCCGGCCCCGTTAGTCCGTCAGTGTGTCTCCGGAGCAGCGGCGGCTCGTCTTTCAGCCCACAGCGGCCGAGCGCGTTGTCGTTATGCCTCCAAATACGCCTTCACTCCACTAGTGCCAGGAGACGGCTCACACGGCCGCGTCAAGCTGCACGACACGCAGCAGGAAGAACGGTCAATCTTTGCTTCAAAATAAAAGAGTCGCGCCCCAGTAAATGCGAGTTGTCCTTTATTTTGTAAATGCGCAACAGGAACTTGGCTGTACGGTTTTACGCTCCGACAGGGAGGCGTTTTAATCCATCCGAGCTGCGCATTCATCGCTGATCAGCCCTCACGTGACTCCAGGCAAATACACCAATAATGTTCGTATTGATTATTGGACTGAGTCTAATCATGCTGTGGCATTGGGCTGATTAACTCATCACTGCTGCTTTTTGTTGACTTCGTTTGGTATTTATGATAAAATATCATCCTCTTGTCATTTTCCTGGCCTAAGAAAATACATGAAAGTGTTTGTTTTTTGTCTTTTTTTAAATGCATTCTGAATATGCAACAATCTTTGTTTCTGGGAACCTGAGAGTCTTTCACCTTTTTTTTTTTTTTAACAAATAGGTAACAGATGTTTTGCAAAATGTGAACTTGATATGGGATAAGAATTCCCCCGCAGATATCAATGATTCTCAATCCACTAGTCAACCACTGGGCACCATCATTAGCCCAACAGCCAACCAGCAGTGGAACAAAGCAAAAGGCAAACTAACGGGGAATGAGCGGTCAAACGATCCAAAATGCAACTCCTGGATGTGTTATTTAACCTTTACGCTGCCATTAAAAACAGGAACAACATCACATTTTGAAAGTAAAGCTAATCTTATGGATAAGTGATACGTTTGTGTCGATCAAAATGACTCCTGAAGTAAGATTCCCGGCTTATGAGGGAATACTGAGATGTTGAAACTTTCTTCTTGAACTCATCGTGACCTGACCTTCTGTTCCATCAGTGAAAATGATATAATCTAGGCTCAAAATTGTCATATTTGATCTTAAATCCCATCATTTAAAGAATGCACTGTTTACATGAAAGAAATTCATTCCTTTGTGGCTGAACTGGGCTGAACTGCAGGCGGTGTACACGCAGCAGACAGGACACAAGAATGGAAGAGAGAATACGATTCTTACAATAAAGTCAATAAAAACGACACAAAAAAAGAAGTAAAAAATAAAAAAAATGGCCAGAAATTGCTTAGCAGAAGCATGGGCATGTCATCAGAAAGTTATTATTATTGTAAACTGTAATAGCAGAATTAAATCACTACACGAAGAGGATTGTATTGCATTTCATGTGTTATTATTAAAGTCACCACACTGTCGTAAGTATTTTAATACTGCAGCTGGTCAAGGTGGAGCTCGCTTTACATTCTCTGTATTCTCTTCAGCAGTTTAATGAACCGTAAAGAACACTATTTAATAAGATAATCATCGGCTTTTGTATGAATTCTTAAACTATGCTAACTCTAATCCTGCAGTTGAGTGTCGTATGTGCAGCACATTTTTAAGAAACGAAGAACGCTGCGTGTTGGCGTCTAACATGTCCAGAAGGGATTCATCATAGAATTTGCATGTTGTAAGTGACAGCGTGTTTCTGTGCTGTGATCCCAGCAGCTGCTCATCCAAAACATGCTCAGAAGAGTCATTTCCATTCAGGTTTTGGTGCCTTTTAGACGAGACTCTTACACCAGGTTAGGAAACAGTGGATGTAAAACACACACACACACACAGAAATATTTGCAGTTTGTTTCTACAACACACGTGGTTTCAATTACAGCATTCCTGCCTCCGCGGAGAAGGAGGGGGTCCCGCTTCCTGTGTGCATTACTGCAGTGGTCAAGCATGAGCAGATGTTTTAATGTGTTCACTCATTCATGTGTTTATTCGTAGGTGTCACTTTCAGACTAATTCTCAGTGGTCTGTTCTAAACAAAGTGGTGTTCTGCAGCCATAACACCATCACTCCTCCTGACACCGGTTCTGATAGCTGTTTGTTTGAGGCTATAACTTTATACTGCCTTTGCTTTTTTTTTTCTGTAAAGAAGAAAATGATTCGTTTCCTTTCACTAGCGATGTGTTGGTGAACTGATGGCGGTGTTGCTTCACTTTATCCAAATGAATACAACCTTAAGTTTGCGTCACCATCTTCAGGGCCAAAGGATGACACCATCCAGTCTGGTGCCGAACAACAAGAACCTGCAGCGACGCTGTGACTTCACACCTGGATCCGTGCGCTGCTCCCTAAGGTGGGGGGTTGATGGGATATTTGGGTTCAAGCTGTTTGTTTTCTCTGCACTCCGGCACGAAGCGCCACGAGTGAAGAGCTAACCATGTGTTGTAGAGGAAGCCTAACTCCTGGAGATGCCACTTTGGAGAGTAGAATGACGAAGGTCCTGCATTTGTTTTGTTTGAAAAGTTTCAGTCCATTGGTGCCTGGAAAAGACAAAACAGGAAGAAATCTGGACGAATCCCCTCCAGGAAGAGTCTTTGTCACTTGGCTGGCACTCGTTAGGAGGTTTTACATACTAGGTGGACTAATGCAAAGCAGTTAGCACACGGAACAAGCCCTGATTTGAATACTCTGAGCTTCAACTGGAAAATAGGTCACATGCATAATGTTGGGGATAGCGTAGGGAATACGGTTAGGCAATATGGTTTTACTGCCCGTTTATGTCATCACTGTCAAACAGAGCCTCCTCGATGAGAGTAAGTTCCATTAAAAGCAACCCTGAGTGTGTCTCTCCGGCACACAAACGCACTCACTTCGTTCTATTCCACATAAATGTCATGCTAATGTGTTTGTGAGTCATGAGCGCTACCTCGCCGTGGCCCAGATATCCTCGGCGACGACAGAATGTGAACACAGAATTTTTTAAATCAACAAAAGCGCCATTTCGGTTTCGGTCACTTCGGAGCAAACTGAGTTCTCTGCATAGAGTTGCCTCGGAAACACCGTCTCCGGCTGGAAGTGAGCGTGGTTGTGTTTGCACCGCTGAGGGTTCGTAGCCTCGGGGAGCCGCACGTCTGGCGGATTTAGCCGACCATCGCGGGAAACGTCTGTGGAGCTCCTGACCGACTTCACGTGACCTGATTGAGCAGTCAAACCGCTTCATATGCTCCAGTCGCCACGGCGACGCCCGGAGGCCCATCACCTCCTCCTCTGAAACCGCTGACCCTCTATCTGTGATTACACAGAGGAGCAGCTCACTCACATCCCCGACCTCCGTTTACCTCCCTACACCCCCCACACAGCAGACCCAACCCGCTGTCATGTCTGGACCCGTCTCCTCTCCTGCAGAAATCCAGCTGATCCGATGAGCAGCTCCTTTTGGATATTAGAGGAGCCGAGCAACACTTTGGTCCACTCAGCAACCTTTAGATGGCATTAAATCATTCATGGTCCCTGGAGGATGAGCACTTTTGACTCTGTTCGTCTGTTTCAAGTTCAGTTTTTTACTCATGTTGTACATCTACAAGGTAGCTTCACACATTCATGGCTCCCTGAAGATGAACCCTCCTGACGTTGGTGATCCAGTGAACTACATTTCCACCATTTTGTGTACAAAATATCGGCATGCTAACCTGCTAACCGGAGATGCTGACAATGCTAAACCTGCTAAACATCAGCATGTTGGCCTTGTGAGCACATCATCCAGCGTGTTTACATGAGCAATAAAATGTGGAAATGTATGTGGTTTTTTTTAAACAGCTTTTAGCTGTAAAATGTTCGACCAATCCACTGTTACTTTACAGATATTTCCTGTTTTGTTTAGTTGCAGATAATATCTAATAAAATCACAGAAAAAAGGGTATTTGTTTCCATGTTAACAAAAAAGTTCACATCAAAAATCTGTGTTTTTTATTTGTTCTTTTACATTTGACCATAAAATGACACTATTTTAAAAATCTAGTTATATAAAGAAGTATTACTGTTATTTTACAGATTCTTGAAATTATTTTCTCAATTTTTAAAATGTTTTGTTGTTGTTGTTGTTGTTTGTTTGTTTGTTTGTTTGTTTGTTTGTTTGTTTGTTTGTTTTTGCATCTTCACACAATTGTATTTGACATTGTGGCTCAAAGCAGCAGTGGGTCAAAAAACAGAACCTTAGACTCCAGAAAAATAATCTATATTGAGAACTGTTTTTATTTATTTAAAGGGTTATTTTACAGATTTTCCCTGTTTAGTTTATTTACAGATGTTATATTGTGACGTATCAGAGAAAAATTAAAAATAATATGTTGGTTTTTTAACTGTACAAATGTCCACATTAAAAATGCATTTTTTTTTTACAAACAGTGCTCTTTTCTTATATCATGTGTAACCATAAAATCACACTATTTTACTCTGTTTAAGTCAGACGTGAATATCATTCTTTTACAGGTAACTGCTGTTATTCTCACCGTTTTTGAACGTTACGGTGTTCCAACATTCTCGTGCACAGTTTCTCGGCAGCTTTGTTGGCAGATGTTCACCGTTTCTTTCAGGTCTGTTAAACTAAAGAGACGTCGTTCAATGCACACGCTTCAAACCTCTGTCCTTCAGGATGTTATTTTCCACAGACACCTGGTAGCTCATCTTCCTCCGTGTGTTTGCACCTAAAGCCCTGGACCGGACCAGAATCAGCGGCTTTCACGCGTCCTTCCTGTTGTGGACCGGGTCGACCTTCGGGTGATGTCGTGAGTGCGACAGAGGTCACAGGAAGCAGGATTTCCTCCTTCATTCTTTCAGGTTTAAGTTCCAGCTCTGCACCTCAGCCACCTCTTTCCTGTCACCATCCGACTGAAGGGCAAAGTTGAGTTGATTTTCTGGATCCAAGGGCACATATGAGTGGAGTCTTTATTTGGGCTCACAAAGGCGGTAGTGTTTGCCCGAGAGTCCCCACATCTAAAGTACAATCCTCCTGGACCTGCTGCAGTTATGCAACAGGCCGCAAAGGTTTTCCCCCTTCAGGAGTTTCTCTGGTGAGCGTACAGCTCAATCTCAAGCAACTTTATAAAATACAAAAAG